CAACGAAATTTATTCTGCTAGTAATGTGCATTTTATAAATTCAAATACTAGAAAACAAAACTAAACGTGGAATGCAGGCATCAGGAAGTAAAATCTAATACGAACTCCCTTTCCACGGGAATGGAAAGTAATGTCGGTAAAATTTCGAGGTTTAAGGAATACAGTGCTTCCTCCAGCCTCTGTATATTTTAGCCGAAGAAGAACAAAGAATAGTGTTCCTATGGGGAACATAATGCCTACCAGATAATTCACGGAACGAGTTAGGGAGATTTAATATGCACCAGATAAATTTGTGGCTCCTGTAAGGGCTTACTTAAGTGACCAGTTGCAATGACCAGCCAAAAAAATAAATATTATTTTGCTGTTGCTGGTATATATTCTATAGCAGAAAAATTGAAAGTCGCATCGAGCATCCAAGTGTCTAAAGTCGCAGCCTAAAGCAGACAGAAAGAAGAAACATGTAGCAGTAAAAGGGATTTTCCTTTCAATAGTCTAGAAGATACATTTTTATAGGACTTATTATTTCTCAGTTCCTGGATTTGAAAATGTGATTATTCTAAATTCCAGGTCACAAGAATATGGGTTTGTTTGAGCCCCATTTTATCAAAATTTCATTTTTTCAAAACTCATTTTTAACCACAGATTATCTAATAAAATAATGTTATACGTAAATCGAAAACTTTTTCTTTATTTTTAGCCACACATTCTCCCAAAATCACTATTCAAAAATGCATTTTTCCACTCAAAATGGGGCTCAAACAAGGGCTATATGATATAAATCCCGGTGCATGTGTGCTTTTACTTGATGAGTTCACCCAGAAAGTATTGTTAATGCTTCAATAAGATTGTGTTTTTATTATTATATATTGATTAACTACTCAGAATAACTAAGAAATCAGATATAACAATATAAACAGTCCAATTCTCCTCTTCAACGGAAATACGGATTGAAACTGAGACACACCTCACTTTGATGAGCAATTACAGATTGAATAGGCTTGCTGCCGGATGGGGCACGGAGATCCCATATGTGCAGGTATTGATCATCCCCAGCCGAACCAAACAAGTACTCATGCCTGAGATGCCATGCTACATCTTCTACAACACCTTCATGAATCTATACATAGAAATTATTATATAATTGTCAAAGAAGCCATAAAATTTCAAGATGGAAAATTAAGGACAACAATCCAAGAGAGAAGATTTTCTGTATACTGAAAGATCAGAGGAACACAATCAAAAGGAATTATAACAAGTCTTTATCAGTACATACCTTAAAAATTTGCATTGCATCAAGAGTCTTATTCCTTGGAGTTGCATTGATGTCCCACAAGCATATTTGGGAGTCATCTGAACCACTCAATAGATGACCCTGCTTGAAATGACTCCATGATAAACCATAGCCTTCAGTATTGTGACCCCTCAACCTCAAATCAGGATTGCAAGCACCATCTAAAGGAGGCTTAGATGGATGTTTGCTATAATCGAAAACATATACTTCCGCACTAACTGTCTTGGTAGCAATAATGAATGGGTTTTGAGGCATGTAACGAGCCCGATTAACCTCCCCATCATGATTTATTTGCTGAATTATTTGCACCTGCAAGAATATTGTTTAGCAGTTGGTACATATAGCTAGTACATGCCAAAGAGGGCAAAGCAGAAACATACGTGGCAATTCTCTTCATCTCAATAATGTTAATTCACCAAGATGCGCAATTCCATATATTTTTAGAAGAGAAAACTATTATATAGCAACCGATATGAAATTGTTGTTAATTCAGCTTCTAAGGGAAATTCATAAACACAAAGTTCAAACTTTTTAGAAGGTGTCATTGTCATTAATTCAGCTTCTAAGGAAGATTCGTAAACAGCAAATTTCAAACTTTTTTAGAATATGAAAATGTCGTAAATTCAGTTTCTAAGGAAAACGCGTAAACCACAAATTCAAATGTGAATAAATATTCCCTTTTCAACTTTAACTCCGTACTGGCAATACAGAGTCCTTACCCATGCAGGAACACTTCAAAATCTGAACTCATAACACAATCAAACTCTCGAACGAGTAGCTCTTTCCAATTTCAAAAACCCACTAACGAATAATCAGAAAATAATGTCTGCAACAATTACCCTCTCACCAGATCACAATACAGTCAATCAGCAGAAGGTATAATACTAATTAAGCTAAAAAGAATCCATCCTAAACCTCAAAATCGCATTTAATTCCAAAGGTATAATTTAAAAAAAAAATTAAAATAAAAGCCTTACCTTGTCATTCATGCAGCCAAAACCCAGAATGGAAGAGACGATCAATTTACCAAATTAAAATCACATCACAGAACAATTAATGAGAACTTAAAAAGAGAAACCCACAAAACAATAATTCATTAAAACTTACCTTGCCATTTGCGCACCCAAATCCCCCAAAATCCGATCGATCATCATCGTAATGGCGGGCATCATTTTCAGCATCCTCTAACGGGAGCTGGACCTGGGCCAACATTAGATAATTGGGTTCGTTCTCAGAAGTGTGGGTCCCAAGAATCATCTTCTGGACGGAATATTCCTTCCCCGGAGGCTCTTCCCTGTCCGGCAGCCACTCAACGGTGAGCGACGGCCACTCTAGCGCGTGAGTAATCACCAGATCGTAAAGAAACGGAGTGTTCTTCTTCCAAATCTTGTACTCCTCGTTAATTAGCCTCTCCTCAATCTCCCCCCTCATCTCGTCCTCATCTCGCCCCATTTTTTCTTCTCTCCTTCTGGGATCTTTAAATTGAATGAACTTACTGAAAAATCAGAAAATTTCAAGACTGGATTTTCAGTTTCAACAGATTTTGGCTTTCTCTGGGGTACGGTGGCTGTGGGGTTCGGCCTTCGTGGGTGGTATCGGCGTGAAGTTTGAGAGGGTTGTGAAATTGGAGGGAACAAGATGTTTCCAGTGGCACTGCTTTTTCTGTTGTCTGCGCTTTGCCGTGAATGATAACTACAGTAAATTACGTTAAAGACTAGTAGGCTATAAACAAATACAGAATTTTTATTTTTCTTTATTATCTTTAATATGTTTTAAACTATTTTTCTTGTTTTCCCAAAACATTTAATTTAAACAATAGCATTGTAATCTTTTTCTTTTTCTTTTTCATGAGTTGAATACTATTCTTCGTCAAATGAGAGATTCCTCAATTTTTCTATTTGAAATTGTAATAAATATCACCAATTTCAAGTTGGATCCAATTTTCGTCCCGAAGGTAAAATAATAAAAGGCTTAAAGCTCAAAATTAAAAGTACGGTTCAAAATGGAGATCTCTATATAGTTCTCTAACCATGTGAAAAACAAGAACGAAGAACAGAGTAGCAGTAGAAAATCTGATTGTGGCGTGAAAAATAATGAAACATGCTATGTGTACAAAAGAAAAACATACAGACGATTCACATGGGGCTCACCCCTATGTGAGTGTCGATAATTTTTCTGTATAAAATATTTCTGTACAAACAGAATTTTCGGAAAATAATAAACGCAACAGCTGCAAAAACAAGTGAAAAATAAAGATTAGCTAGATGTACGGGGACAAAACGTTGTCAATTTCGGCTCAAATCATAAGTGGTGAATCCTAGTAATGCAACACTGTTAGCTTCGTTTTTAAGGTTTTTTTTTTCCGTTGATGAGATTGTTAAACTTTTGGTTTATTGATTGATGGTAAAAGTTCATCTGCTAGATGAGTTATAAATCAACCAAGAATTATTGAATTCTCGAGGATATTGTGAAACTCTAGTTTTATTTAATTATTTAGACGAGTTATAGAATAAGAAGCATTGAATTCTTCTTACTTACTGATATTATATGGAAATAACCGATCCAACCTAACAAGAACCTACCAAAGAGGACAATGCTTGGAGGCAATCGCCTTACCGCCCTCATTCGGTGTCGGTCTACCATACCAAGGGGCGAGGGATAGTCGATTGACCACACAATGAGTGATCGACAACCACTTGGCATAGTAAAGTAGTTATCCGCACGATTTAGACTCGCTCAATAACTGAATGACGATTATATATCACACTCACTAAAATGTCAAAATGATGGAGCATGTATTTGTAGATTATAAAAATCGGTTGGTATGTGAGCAGAAACCCTGCTGCCTATAGAATACTCTAAGGGTGTTAAATATGGTTAATGATTTTTTTACAAAAATTATCACTTTTTCACTGCTCTTTTAAACTTATAATTCCTTTTCCAGTCCATATACTTACTCATGCTTTGAAGATGAAACAAGCGAGATCAAGATCAACGACCTTCGACCTATGTCACTATGACTCGGTTTAACTCCTTGGAGACTCAAACGACGGCCATGCTGACCCTCTTGCAGAATCAGGCTCAGAGAACGACTAAAATTGCTTCTCACTCACTTGTGGTTCCATTGGGAAATCCTTATGTGCGACTACCTCTGATAGTACAAAAAGCCACCCAACCAATCGCCTAGCTTTTCTGTGGTAGACCAAGGGATACCTCCACCCCGTAGGCCGCTACACCTCAATCTCTAATGAGGATTCTGAGAACACAACCTCCACAAGTTCACCACCTGGTGGTTAACTTGGAGAAAAAAAATGGAGGAGATGATGACATAAAAAATGATGATGCATTGTCAATGAAGAAGGTAGACGCCGACAATGATCTTAAGCAACCAACGATAGACGCATATGACGGGATTACAGATCCACTTTATCACCTAAGGACCTTTGTGGAGTTGATGAGACCGCACGTAACGCCTGAACTGTGATGTGTCAATCCTTCCCACCATCGTTGAGGAAATAGGCTAGAGATTTGGTAATAACTAGCCCTCAATCTATTAGAATGTTTGAGTTTTGTAGCTTACTTCTTCATTACCAAGAGAATTAGGTAGACAACTACCAAATTGATACATGTTGTCTAAGAAAATGACGAATCGTTGAAAGACTGCTTGGCCGACTACAAGGCAAAACTAAAGAGGAAGACTATAATATTTGTTTGTACTCTCATCTTGTATATTCTGACAATAATATTTAGATATATAGAGAGCTG